GAACTGCAGGAACCCTATACACCTTATACACCTTACACTCCAGCTGCTGAGACGCCTCTTCACCAGTAAGTATATAATAGGTCATCATCTGCATATCTAAAAGCAACCCTGCCAGCAATAAATTTTATTTTATAGTGTTCAGTATTACCTGGCCTTTGCCCTAAGTAATATCATATATGAAAATCTGAAAGCACTGTAAAGATTATCATACAGATAAAGCATAGAACCATATATTACATTATAAAAAAAAGTACATACAGAGCTCATATTAGTGTTTTCAATCTGGTGATGTAGGCTACTCCCCCAGTTCATAGTTAACCACATGCTGCTGGAGAAAATGAATAAAAAATGGGGAAAATACTGTGCTCATTTTTCATGTGGCTCTGCTAGTGCTTAGCCACAAAGGAGTCAAGGAAAAGACCTTGTGACCTTACCTAATTTCATCATTCCTTGAATTGGCAGGGAAAAAAAAAACAAATTATTTGCTAATGCTATGAATATCATCAGTATTATTTTTATTATAGAAATTATAATTACCATAATTTTATAAACATTAGTAGCAGCAAACTAAGATAACGTAAAATATTTTCAATAATCAAGGAAATGGGTAAACAGGAAACAGACAGTACTCGTAATTGGCTCAGTACAAGTGTAGCCATCTATGTGTAAAACAATTAAAAAAGTAAACTGACAGTGGGCATGGCATGTGATGCCCTTTGGCATTGGCTTAATAATTGATAGTTAATAACAATATTGGAATTTTGCATGAATTTCCCAACTGTTCAGACCATCCTAGAACACAGTGTTTGGTTCAAAAAGAATAGCTTACTTATGACCCATTATGGGAGTCATGAAAAGTCTCTGATACCCTTGCCCTTGGGCGAGTGTAGACCTACCTGTATAATGTGGGACCAAGTTCCAAGTCATGATTCAAAATGCAATAGAAAGCATACTAATGTTTTTGCTTATATGATGATGCAAATTTAGACTAATTGGAGTTGTACTGTGACTTATGTCAGGGTAAAGAAACAAAAATCTTTGAGATTTCATTTCTCAAATAGTTGTTTTCACCACTATAAATCAAAATTAATCTGTTTTTAGTCAACTGATTTCCCTGAAAGAAGTCTCTTTACAAAGAGTGGACAGTCTGCTGCAATTTCTATTATTAAAATAGTTAAAAATAAAAACCAAATATTCAACATTTGAAGGAATGTATAGAAATGTTAGCAAAAATTAAGGAGGTAGGTAAGTTGGTTGTTAGGATGGTTGGTTGGTTGAAAAGAAAATGTGAGGGCCATTGTATAATGAACAAAATATCAACCAGATGCCCCTTACCTGATCTTTATGTGGATATGGTTCAGCACCAAAATTTAATCTAATCCTTGGGTCCTGGACAGTCCCCCTCTAATTTTTACCACAATATATCTGTGATTTTGCATAATTTTTCTGACAAACCACATAATCAACTAATTAAAGCAAATATATAATAAATGGTGGGTTAAAGACAAAAGAAAGCAAAAATTTTGCTTTAAGAAGCAAACTGTTTCTAAACAAATATCCCACCATTTTAGAAAAAGGAAAATCTTTCATAGATAGATTACTAGGTAATTGGAAGTGAACATTGTAAAGTAATGACAGCAGGCTGTAATGATAAATTCTAGAATTTATAGATGTCCTTGTAGTTGATCGTATGATAATGATATCTGTCATAAAACCATGTTAGGTTTATAATTGTAATAGGTGAAATTATATATTTTTAAATAGAATTTCTAGTAAAGGAATATTTTGAGCTTATGAATTGAGTAGAAATTTCTTATATTTTCGTATTGAATTGTATGTAGCACTCACAGAGTAATTGGACCAAGCTAGTATGGAATACAGATAGAGGAAGCAAAAGGTATGAGACAAGATTTTATGGGTATGTATAGGTTTTATGCTTAACAATAATTTTAAGGAATATATACATAAAAGGTACAAGCATCATATTTGGAATGTTTTATTATTTTCAGTCAGTTTACAAGAAATTGTTATTACCCAGCCACCACAAAATGAATGTAGTTACTGAAAGGTTTTGTTTTCTGATTCAATGCATTCTCTGTTGTGTGAATTTCATGATAACATTTAATAAAAGTTTTTTTTGTGTGTGAGGTGGGGAGTGTGTTATTACATACTTATTCATCCAAATGCATAATTCTGAGTGTAAATTACGTAGTGGTGTCAAATATCGGATATTCTTTAAAATGCTTCTTTCAGTAATACCTCATGGTTTACGTAGATGATGTTAAGTCATTGAATTAATTACATTAAACTTATTCATGGTATAAATTTATGTCATTATTTTTGTGTGTGTGTATGTTTGTTTGTGTGTGTGTTTGTTTGTGTGTGTGTGTGTTTGTTTGTGTGTGTGTGTGTTTGTTTGTGTGTGTGTGTGTTTGTTTGTGTGTGTGTGTGTTTGTTTGTGTGTGTGTGTGTATTTGTTTGTGTGTGTGTATTTGTTTGTGTGTGTGTATTTGCTTGTGTGTGTGTGTATTTGCTTGTGTGTGTGTATTTGTGTGTGTGTGTATTTGTTTGTGTGTGTATTTGTTTGTTTGTGTGTGTGTTTGTTTGTTTGTGTGTGTGTGTATTTGTTTGTGTGTGTGTGTATTTGTTTGTGTGTGTGTGTATTTGTTTGTGTGTGTATTTGTTTGTGTGTGTGTTGTGTGTGTGTGTATTTGCTTGTGTGTGTGTGTATTTGCTTGTGTGTGTGTGTATTTGTTTGTGTGTGTATTTGTATGTATGTGTGTATTTGTTTGTGTGTGTGTATTTGTTTGTGTGTGTGTATTTGTATGTGTGTGTGTGTATTTGTTTGTGTGTGTGTATTTGTTTGTGTGTGTGTGTATGTGTTTGTGTGTGTGTATTTGTTTGTGTGTGTATTTGTTTGTGTGTGTATTTGTTTGTGTGTGTGTTGTGTGTGTGTATTTGTTTGTGTGTGTGTATTTGCTTGTGTGTGTGTGTATTTGCTTGTGTGTGTGTATTTGTGTGTGTGTGTGTGTGTGCATGTATGTGTGTGTGAGTGAGTGAGTGAGTGATAATACATCACTTGGTTAATGAGAATTGTACAATGTCTTGGCCCAAGGTTGAGCCTGACTATGTATTAATAACAAATCTTTCATTGTGATATTTCTTTAGTTGATATATCATCTTCAAGGTTGCTAGTTGCAGTATTATTGAACTTTATGTTTTATATTTTTTAACCTTGTTTTGAATGCAATACAGTTATATGTTGTTTAGTGGCCACAATCCAACCTGTGAAATAAGTTATGAAGTTATATAATTTGGATATGTGGACACCATCTTACATATTAGCAAAAATATATGAATTATTGTAGTGTATTCTGTACTGATTAAATAGGCATGTTGGTTTGGATGCATATGGAAGCTATGATGCATTTTATAGGAAGAATTTCTAAAGTGAATTAAAGTGAGTATTGTGACTTGGCACACACAAAATTTAATGCTGTTGTCTGTAAGGCAAACTATACACTGTAATATTTTAAAGTCCTTATTTAAGAGTTTAGGAAGATTAAGAGTACACCACTGGGTGCAGTATACAGTGTACAGAAACAAACTTGGGAGTAAAGGTGAAGGCATAGTACTATTCATAGCTTACCTAATTGAGTGCCATAGCCATTCATGATATATGTTAAGGCTCATGTATTTTTGGTTATATGTAGGTACTCTTCCACACATGTCTAGGACTATAATCACTTTGTGTACGTGTACTTGTTGCTTGCAGAGATATCTTGTGTTCCTTATATCTGGTTACATTTACATCCTGTTTTCCAGTGGAGATACAAGTATGACTGTATATGAAATACATGGGTGGTCCCTAAGGAGGACTCTAGCATAAACCATTAACCTGGTTGTGGCCAGAACTTGAAAATACAACCGCTAACCAATTATAGAATTTTGTGCAACTTGTCTTTAATATGGGTTATTCAGCTTCAGAGGCGAGAGTAGTGGTTCTTGCGAATTACCATATCTTTGGTAATATCATTTATACTTGCACACCCTGAGAATACAAATTAATCATTATTAAGTCATGTTTATAAGATTTTGCAGTTATAGATATGTTGCTTTACTAAATGGGCTTTGTTTTGGGAAATTTTAGCCTACTACGTACCGGAGAGAGCCATCGTAGAATCCAGTTCACCTTTTAAGATGTTGAGAATATTGAGAGCTCCTTCCTCTCCACCACATGCCAGGCCCCAGAGAAGTGGTCGTCCTAAAAATACCTGTTGAGAGCAAAAAGCTTAAACTTTGGAAGACTTACTGTCATTACTTGATTTTATGGCAGAACTTTCCTCACTTAATTTTAATTTCAAATTGTTTTTTGATAGAACATATGAAGAAATATTAGGTAGGCAATAAGGTCAAATTTTATTTCAAAGGTTAGATAGACATACCATGCGTGCTCCAAGAGCAAGGGCCTTGAAAATATCTGTTCCTTCTGAAAATCCTCCATCTACGTATACCTCACACCTGCCATCAACTGCTTTTACTATTTCAGATAAGGCCTCAATCTGTAGATTTAAGAATGTTGAGTTTTAAGGATACTGTAAGGTATAAAACATTAAATTGATGAAAGAAAGGCAAAATGCAAGAAAATGGGAAAGTGGTTAGAATTTATATTCTGAAAAGGGGATAAGTGAAAGAGCGGTTAAAGATTTTTAAAGAAAGATGAAAGGAGAAGAATGATCATGTATTTGTATGGTTTCATGATTCGTAATGAAATATATGGTTGACATACTGATGGTGGCACTCCATCCACTTGACGTGCACCATGGTTTGACACCCAGATTCCCATTGCTCCTGCCTTTAGACCTAATAAGGCATCTTCTGCAGTGAGTATTCCTTTCAGCACGATGGGTAGGTTCGTTAACCTGTAATACACGAAAACTTCAATTCCAGAAATGGGTTTGTTATACAGTTGTAGTGTTCAGATTTAATCCAGGTTCACTGACATGTTAACGTAGGGATTCAGAATACAAGTTTTTCTTACCTTTTAAGCCAAGCAACATCATCCCAGGTTAGTGAGGGATCAAAGAGTGACTTAACATATTCATTGATTCCAGAACCTCCAGCTGAGGTGTTTACACGATTAGACTTTTCGTCACCTGTCTGGAAATTAGCCATACTGCAAGGAAAGAGCAAGATCTTTATTTATTTTCTATTTACCAAATTAGTGTTCAAGGAAGGTTGAGCTGATCAAGAGCATATATATATATATATTTTTTTATAAAGATAACCGAAGTTAAGCTCAAGAAGAAAATACTTTTCTCACACACACACACACACACACACACACACACACACACACACACACACACACACACACACACACACACACACACACACACACACACACACACACATATATACACACACACACACACATATACACACACACACATATATACACACACAAACATACACACACACATGTGTGTATTTATACATTTATGTACACATACATGTATGTATGTATGTACTGTAGTATCAGTTTAATATATTACCCTAAGTGAGGTGGTAGAGTGAACTTGTTCCTTAAATCTGCCAATCGGATGCCAAAATGTGGAGCATCAACAGTCAGGACCAGTGCGGAGAATCCAGCAGCCTCTGCTCTTTTTACCAAGCTGGCTGTAACTGATCTGAAGATTTTATATGGAGGAATTTAATTGATTGGGGTTTTATTCAGTCTAAAGATGATCTTTACATTGAATTGGATGAAAAATTTGAGCCGTAAGATCAAAATTCATTTGTAGCTCAAAGAATTAATTGTGTAGCATATATATTCATTCATTAGGCAAAAAATATATATACCTCTATATACCTGTCTTTGTATATGTATAGCTGAAAGAAACGAAGTGTATCGGGGGCTTCAGAAGCAATTTCTTCAATGCTGGTTGTGGCAATGGTACTGAGTGTAAATACTGTGCCAATTTTGCCTGCAGCTGAAAGTAGGATTTTCGTGAAAGTATTGAAGAAAAATATATACATAAGAAACAATAACTTCTGTATGATTTTTTTATTCAAATAATTTTGGTGTTTGTTGTGGCAGATTTTTATGATATAGATCCCTTGTGTGTTATGTGTGTAACTTGCTCCCTGTGATTTATATATGCCATTTGAATTTCTAGTTCAAGGAAATCAATATTTGATTTACTCTGTAATCGGCCTGCAGTTATTTGACCATGCAGCAGTTTATCATAAACTTACCTCTTGCATTAGCATTTTCACCTTCTGGAGTGGCCATTCTTTGCATTGCTGTTGGAGCAACTCCAAATGGAACATTCACTTTGTGACCCAACACAGTGGTTTGCATGCTACGGTTTGACACGTCACGAAGGAACCTTGGGCGTATGTACCATCTGTTGAAAATATCAGAATACTTGTAACCTGCTTTCATTTGTATGGGAACTTATATTCCAATTTAGGTGAAATACAAGAATTTGTGACTGGTAAGATAAAGTGACAGTTGCTTCTGTGTAGGCAGAAGTGACTCGGACTGAAAGCTTTTGAATTGTTAAAAGATACAGATTTAAAGTTTTGTGTAAATTACCTCAAATGTTGCCACACTTTAAATATAGTCAGTATCATCTATTGATTTTATGGCCACAATTACTGAAGAGGTAAGGCTAGTAATAGTTATAAATATGACAATAGAAACAAGCAAATATTGCAAGGCTAGACAAGGGATGAAAGAAATATAGGGGGGGGGGGAGTCAGGAGAGGAATTCTTTCTTCTGTGTTATTACCTTTATTTTTTATATTGTGAAGTATGGTAGGTTTTAATGGGTTAAAGATTTTGGATGATTACTAAATGTCTTCAAATATGAAGCACATGAAAACAGGTAAAAGTAACAAACCTTTTAATTGCATCTTTGTTCTCTTGGAGTGTAATTTCTCGTGTTGCACCTGAGCGGTAATAGTCAAGTGCATTTCTAGGCAAAATTTTTGTAGCTTGTTCTTCATAGTCTTGGACACACACCAGGGGAGAACTCATTGCTGATTGATTGTAGTAAAGTTCTGAAAGTTTTGAATCCTGAATGGTTGATATAATGTTAATGAGACATTTTTGAAAGTTAGTAGTTGTAAATATTATGATTGTTGGTCTTTTGTTAAATAAAGTAAAAAGAGCTAAATATTTTGGCCAGGATAATTGACTTCCTTAGCATAGAAGTTAATTGTACTAGAATGTCATTTCTTACATTTTATCATATGAGTACTGGGCATTATTTATCTGCTTCAATGACTCTATAAATGAACGGCAATACTGAATAGTCAGAGTAATTTACCTCTTGTTTGCAATGGGCCAAACCTTCTTGGGAACTGTGTTAGACCTGACTGCCCAGCTGTTAATTCACATCTGAGCTGCCTTTGCATAGAAACAACAATACCATATTAGAGCATATATTTTTACTGTCTAATAGTTACTTCAACTTGAATTACTATTGTTTC